TTTAATAGTTAGTTATATCTAAGTTGTCATCGCTATCACTAACACCCCTTTTTAGCTGTACTTAAATTGCGAATAAATAAAGGATTAACTCTTTCGCTCAAAGGGCAATAGCCCCAATTGCCATACCAAAATAAGGGTAACTGCTCATCCCAATGCACAAGAAGACATTGAGTGCGTCAGGTGCCACGTTATTCGTATGCCTATCCAAATCAATGTCTAATACTGATGCACGTTTTTGTTGTTCCAAAATAATTCCGATACAAATTCAAACCCTAAGTTTGAAAATTGGACATTGAAATTGTGAATTACATCGTTAGCATTAAACGTAAGTTACTGCCTTGTTTTGAATGTACAGTTATGGAAGTTTGAAATTTTGACTTATAAATTGGGATTTATGTTATTAGAATTAAAAGCAATTTACTGGCTTGTTTTGAATGTACAAATTTGGATCAAACCTAAGTTTGAAAATTGGACATATAAATTGGGACACATGTTAACAGCAATTTACTGGCTTGTTTCGAATAGAAAATTTCTAATCCTAAGTTTGAAAATTGGATATTGAATTGGAAAGATGTTATTAGCATCAAAAGCAATTACGGGCTTATTTTGCATATACAAATTTCAACCAAAGTTTAAAAATTGGTCATTGAAATTAGAGCATTAAAAGCAATCCTCTGGCTTGTTTTGAGTATCTCACTTTTTCTAATATCTTCAATTAAACTGCAACAAATTATGGCTTACACCGCAAAATCTTTTGCCACTAAAGAAATTTAGTGACCAAAGTTTTTATCTTGATTTATAAGAAAGAAATAATACCAGACCTCTATGAGGTTTGTACAAATATCTCTCAACTGAAATTATTGTCAAAATAATCCTTGCACATATAAGGAAAAATTTTGTGACATGTATAACAGTAGACTAGCTTAATAAATAATTTATTATGAATAGCTTACTTCTTCTGGTATGTTCAGTTTGTACCCTTTCAAAATTTTCCAAAACTATGAGCTTTTTTTGTCAGTCATCAAACCCTCATTCTCAGGTGATGTGAGATGTCACATTTTTAATCGTACTTCTGATCTCAATCAGTATTCTCAATTCTCATTCTTGGACTGTTAACAAACAAAAACAAAATTAAAGTTTAACAAACCATAGAATATTTTTCAGCAAAACATTTGAGCTATATGTGTATGCTATAGTTAATTATAATCTAAATATATAATTAGGGCTCATCATGCTCTATTTATTGTAAAACACCCTTTTCCTAAAAACCAGTTTATGTGCTGTTAATGATCTCGGTTTAATTTTTCCTCCATTTTCTGATATATTATCCTAGGAATGGATCAGAGAAATACTTTTGTCCAACTACCATTCCACCTCTCAACATTTAAACACTCAGATACAGAGAATCATGTGTTCCACATCTTTCACTTGGTTGTTGAAGTTTTATTGTCTGATAGTAATTTCAATCCAAGTTATCGTTTTTAAATTGATCTCTTCAACATTATAACTTGTCTCTGCAAACAAGCTAGCTGCCATTTGCGAAAAAAGATTGTTGAGATTGACAAGAAATTTTTAGAGATTAATTAATCTAGCATTAAGTGTCTTGACATCTCAACCATTCTTGCAGTCCCCCCATGATGAGCACCAGACTATCCCCACGTGTTAGACTAAAATTCAAGAAAATATTATTAGTCTCACCAAATAATAATATTTTCAGATAACATTTCTTGAATTTAAAAGGTAAATGGAATATAATACATTCATTCATTGACATTTTTAATGTTCAAACCTACAATTCTCTTATGGTCTTACCTACAATTCCAACTTGCAGTGACTACCGTACTATATATATTGGAATTTGCATGGAATCTTCAATTGTCCTCTTGGACCTTTCAATGGGCGTCCGTACTTATATACACGCCATGTAACTACAAATTCAGTCAAACCCGGGGAAAAAAATAATAATAATAATAATAATAATAATAATTTGAAATTAAAAAAGAAAAACAAAATCTAAGTACCATATTTTTACTACACTTGAAACATTCAAATCAGTCTCTATAAATAGGTACCCTCACCTTGTTCAAATGGTACTCAGGGTTTCAGGAATTCATTTCTATTCTTCAAGGCTCTTGAAATTATAACTTCAAACCTACCTTCATTTTATCCGTCAACACGTACTCTTAAAACTTCAATCTTTTTCTCTCGTCTGATCTCTCTTCGTACATACCTTCTCCCGATTGAATTTATCATGGAAGGAGCAAAATCACCTTTACAGCCTCCAACTTTTGGAAATTTGATCACCATTCTTAGCATTGATGGTGGTGGAATTAGAGGAATTATCCCTGGGATTATCCTTAACTTCCTAGAGTCCCAACTCCAGGTATACATTATAGACTTGGGAGCTAAATATATATATATCCGTATGCTCTAAAAGTCTCCCTTTATATCATGCATGACACTGCGCGCATCTACAAAGCTCAATACCTATTAATTAAGTTTATATGTATATATGTGTGTGTGTGTGTATATTCATGTATGATATGTTTGTGTATATGTATTAATTCATGCACGATGGTTTGGTGCAGAAACTGGACGGTGAGGATGCAAGAATTGCAGACTATTTCGACGTGATTGCAGGAACAAGTACCGGTGGTATTGTGACTGCCATGCTAACAACACCAAATGAAAAGAACCGCCCAACGTTTGCTGCCAAAGACATCAAGGAATTCTACCTCCAACACTGCCCTAAAATCTTCCCTCAGGACAGGTGAACAGCTCAATGTCACTAACATAATGCTGTTTTCTATCATATAGTTAATATATATATAAACATGTGCATGATCATATATATATGTTTTCATTTGACTACAGTTGTCCATTTGCTCATGCTACAAAAGTCATCAAGGCTCTCTCAGGACCAAAATATGATGGCAAGTATCTCCACAATATCGTTAAGGAAAAACTGGGAAACACAAAGTTGCACCAAACATTAACTAATGTTGTGATCCCTACTTTCGACATCAAGAGACTTCAACCAACTATCTTCTCAAGCTATCAGGTACATATATATATATATATATATTTAAGATTGACCCTTTTCATTTTACTAACTTTATGAATCATCATAAATGAAACTAAACTTGTTTGCATTACTATTGTTTCCGTGGTTTAGGCAAAGAACAACCCAAGCTTAGATGTCTTACTCTCCGATATATGTATTTCAACTTCAGCTGCCCCAACCTATCTTCCTGCCTATCATTTTGAAAACAAGGATTCCTCGGGAAAAGTGACAGAATTCAATCTTATTGATGGTGGTGTAGCTGCTAATAATCCGGTATATTAATTAACATGCTTAGCGTTGGATTTAGTAATTTAATTAGGATTACTACAGAGAATTTCTTCTGATGCTTATGTTTGGTTTCAGGCTTTGCTTGCTATGGGTGAAGTGACAAAGGCAATTAACCGGGGCAATCCTGACTTCATTGCTATAAATCCGGACTATAATAGGTTTCTTGTTGTATCCTTAGGGACTGGTACAGCGAAAGCCGAAGAGAAATATGATGCAGATGATGCAGCAAAATGGGGTGTTTTGGGATGGTTGACAAGTAATGGTTCAACTCCATTAGTTGATGTGTTTACTCAAGCAAGTGGTGATTTGGTCGACTTTCACATTTCTACAGTGTTTCAAGCCCTTAACTCCAAAGAAAATTATCTTCGGATTCAGGTATGAACATATACACATCCACATACTATATTCTAATTTTTATTATTTTGTATTTTAAATTCAATTTATAAAAATTCCAAACTAAATTTTATGTCTTTTGTGGCGTTTGTCTTATAATTTGTAATGACTTTTTAAATTTGAGCATGCAGGATGATACATTAAATGGTACAGTTGCATCAACCGATGTCGCAACCAAGCAAAATTTAGATGATCTGGTAAAAGCGGGCGACGAACTGTTGAAGAAACCAGTTTCGAGGGTAAATTTAGAGACTGGTGTGTATGAACCGTCTAATCATGGTACCAATGAGGAGGCTCTCATAAGGTATCAGACTATTCATATATATATATATATAGCCTCTAATTTCTAATCTTATGTTAGCATCCCATTAATTAAAACTATTCTATTCATTGTTAATTAATTTGTAATTAATTGTTTAATACATGTAGGTTGGCAGAAATCCTCTCCAAGGAAAAGCAGCTTCGTGACGCCAGATCACCACGCCAACAAGTCGCAAAGTCCAACTGATAAATTTGACTTGATTTCCTTTCAAAAATTCTACTAAGCATTTTTTTAATATTTTAAAGGCAAAATTCTTATTATTTGACTTGTATTCAATTGTAATTTACTTCTTCTGCGAATAAATCGTGGGTGTGTGTGATGTAACTCATTATACATTTTTTTTTTTTTTCAGTATTGGAATAAATTCAGAATTATGTACTGGTATTTTACATAATTTTTTGGTGAACCAAAATTCTTGTTCTTCTTAGAATTAGCCTTATTCAAAACATGAGATCCACGAGAAAGAATATCAGAGAATATATTTTTTTTTTTTTTTTGCGAAAACAAGAACATTGGTTATGTCCAATTTTACCACAGAAAGTGCTATGCAACACATTAGGCACATAGAACATATCATAATGCAAAGAATCAACCAAAACAGCATCAGACACATTTTGATTAACAGATTTTGCAAACATTGTTTTTCCTTGTTTACTAGATGAGCCTTTAACAAATCTTAAACCCGTTTTATCATTCACACTCTTACCAATATTTATCATCTTATTCAGTTTGACTTATGCAGAGGTAAAAGCAATGAGCTTTTCTTGTGACCTTTTCAATTCAACATCACTATATTCAATTCTCAAAGCAAGATATTCATTAACAGAATTAGCTTTACTTACCTTACTTTCAAGAGTTTTTACTTTTTATTGAGATCAGAGATGAGTGAATTGCTTTCAAAAGCCATTCTTTTTCCTTCATTAATCTGTTTTCTCAGTTCATCATTCTCTTCTTAGCTTGAATAAGTTCCTTTGCTAACTTGTTAATTGCCAATTTACCTTCAATGGTCTGTGCGAACATTTTATTCAAATTTTCTTCATCCATCTCATGCTCTTGAACCTATTCACCATTAACTTCATTGTTTTTATCATTTAAAATGTCAGAATCAGACAAAGTAACAATATGAGGACATTTATCAAGAAAAGTAGAATTATCAGAAACTGAAACTTTCACTGTTTTTTCTTTATTCCTATCATTTTGCTCTTTCTTAAGACTAAGACAAACATTTGATGCGTGACCTTTGCCACCACAATTCTAGCAAGTAAATTTAGTTTCTTTAGATTTTTCTCCTTTCTTTTCATTTGTTTTAAAATTTGACCCTTTTTCAAAAAATTTAGGATTAGCCTCATTGCCGTTCCTTCTCCTTTAAATTGCCTAGATATGAGAGTCATATCATCATCATAATTATCATCAACAATGTTATCAACCTGAGTTGACTTTAAAACAAGATTTTTTCTTTCTGATTTTGATTAAAATTCCTCATCTCAAAATTTTTCAAAGAACTCACACCTCATATACTTTAGCACTAGACAAATCCCAATGTTCAATAATAGTTTCTACCCTTATTTGAAATCTCTTAGGTAAATACCTTAGGATTTTCTCACAGATTTTCTTGTCATTAACTCTTTTACCTAAGTGACAGATTTCAAAAATAATTTCAAGAAGACTAGAATAAAACTCAGAAAAAAGTTTCATTTTCTTTCATCACAATGTTTCCAAAATTATGAAAAAGCATTTGAATTTTGCACAGCTTTACTTTCCAAGTCCCTTCATGAGTAACTTGCAGAAATATTCCAAGCATCTTTAGCAATTTTACAATCAGAAATTCTAACATATTCAGATGGAACAACATAATTAATAATTGGATACAAGGCTTTTCCATTAGTATCATTAAGCTCAGTTTCAAGTGCAATGAAGGTAAAAATATCTTATAAAACCTGAACAACCTTACCATCCACAGTCTTTTCCTCAGTAGGAGGTGTATAAACTTGACTCAACAACAGCTCAGACTTTACCTCCTGAAGTTTGCAAATAAGCTCCCATCTTTGATTTTCAAAAATTATAATTATTTCATTCAAATAAAGGACTACGTTGATTAGATGCACCTCTTTCAAAACATAAGACACGATGAAAGAATTTTTGAAAAATAATAAAAAACTTTTCACTATGATTAACTCAACGTATAGAGATTGGCTTAGATACCAATTGTGAGTTTGTGCAACGGAATAAAGTGTGGAAAGTTTAAGTTTTTATATAAAAAAGATTTAATCACGTGTCTTTTAATTTAACTAACTTTAATTTTGCAAATAAATAAACAATCACATGCAAAATGAAAGCAAGTAAATATACACCAAGTAGGAAGTTTAGACAAAATAGGAAACAAGTTACCTAATCTACAGAAGGTTCTTGAACCGGTTTAGGATGTTGGAGCCGATTCGAAATGGCCAGTGATGAATATGGATTCGAAGTATGAATCTTGAACCAATTCAGGGTCTTGGATCATTTCCTAATGGCCAGTCTTGAACAGAAGAGAAAAAAACAATTAGAAAAATTTAAAAGACATTCCATGTATGAAAGTGTCTTAACCTTCTAACTTAACTTGTTAAAGTGTTGTTTAGACCTTTTTCGTAGATCTTAATTTATCAAATACGAACAACTCTTCAATTCCGCAAACAATCTCGATCTGAATTTGAAACTTGAAAATACAACTTGATCGGACTTATTTTGACACCGAAATTAGTTAATTACAAAATATATATCTCATTAAATTTAGCCATGAACATCTGTTTCATCTTATACCATGACCGAACAGGATGTGATCCTTCCTTCCTTCGATGAAACTGTATTTGTTCCCACCAAATCAAAGCCAATCCTTTAAACTTGAAGGCAACCAACGGAACTTGCTACGAACTCGAATTGAACCACGAGCCTGGTTACCACAAATTCCAAAACCAATTTCTATGAACCGATCTTGAGTATCCCTGGCTACCCAAGGGCCTTTACTTTGTGATCATCATGAGCAAAGTGGGTGCTATCAAAATGAGCAATCGTCATTAGCCTAGGGTAAATCAAGGCTCTGATATAAAGTAACGTAAGCGGAAGCGATAAATTTGTTCACAAGGAACATTTCACTTTGAATCCACAAAGTAGGTGTTTTGAATCCACAAAACGAATAAATAATTTAGAGAAATCTGATATATTATTGATAATTGAATGAATAAAAGTTAATTATGCACTTGGCAATATACGTATTTATAATAAAAGAAAACCTAACATTAGAAGGAAACTAAAAACATAAAAGAAACCTAATAGCAAAAGGAAAATAACACTAAAAATAAGCCTAAAAACAAAGTTTCTCTAAAAATTCTGAAAAAAATAGAATAAGAAACCTAATAAATAAAAAACATACTAAATCTAAAATTTGAGAGCAATCAGACTTCGCTTAAGCCTCGACCAAATCCCAAAATAATTAGCAGGTTTCCTATAAGACAATAAAACACGAATTCGAAACCCTAAACGAAAGTTTTCAGCCGAAAACCAATATGACCAACAAACTAAAGCTAGTGGATTTTTCTCAATGTATCGTTTTCACCAAAAAAAACATTATTGGTTTGTCGAAAAAGGATTTGTCGAATTATGCAGAATTCTGTCCTAAACCTATTATATATGCCACTTCACCCATGGCAACCAAAGACTAAAACCAAAAATAATATATCACCAGGATATACATTATATTTGCTAAGGCGATCTTTAAGTATGCTAAAATTCAATGTCAAATTAATTAGAACATACCGAATTATTAGTTGTTACATGGGCATCAATAAGATTGAATTTTCTCATTTTTCCTGAGGAATCATCTGTTTCAAAATAGTGGGCAGGAAGATAGGTTGGGGTAACTGCAGTTGAAATACATATATCTGAAAGCAAGGTATCTAAGCATGGATTGTGCTTCACCTGAACCATGGAAATGATAATATAAAGCTTAATTTCAAATATGATAATATTTGGAGTTGGAGCCAATGTGACATACACAGATATGTACCTGATAGCTTGAGAAGATAGTTGGTTGGAGTCCTTTGATGTCAAAAGTAGGGATCATAACATTAACTAATGTTTCGCGCAAACGTATGTTTCCAAGTTTTTACCTAATAATGTTGTGGAGATACTTGCCATCATATTTTGGTCCTAATAGGGCCTTGATGATCTCTTTTATATCATGAGCAAATCCACCAGTACAAATCAAAACATAATAGCATAACGTTAATTATATAGGGATCATATTGGCATAACATTCAGGGTTAAGCTCATCAGTACCTTTCCTGAGGGAAGATTTTAGGGCAGCGTTCAAGGTAGAATTCATTAATGTCTTTGGCAGCAAATTTAGGGCGCCAGCACTTTTTATCATTTGGCATAGTTAGCATGGCAGTCACAATACAACCAGTGCTTATTCCTGCAATCACATCAAAGTAGTCTGCAATTCTTGCATCTTCGCCGTCCAATTTCTGCACCAGACCAGGCAATGCCATCATGCATGAATTAGTTAGAACATTTATATTTAAGCTTACTTCTCACACACCCACAAATGCCACTGTGGGGCTCGAACCACTCACGTCTTCTTTGAGGGAGGATAGATTATACCAACTTAGCTAATGGCTAAATCGTAGCATTTTACTGCCAATTGCAGGAACGCAGTCACATTTGTATTAAAAATTATGGCCTTGTTTGTCCTATGATTAAGTGATCATATAGAAAGAAGAAAGAGATTATAGAATGAGTTAAGGATTTTTTTTTTTTTTCAAAGTTTATATATATACCTGGAGTTGCAACTCTAGAAAGCCTAGAATTATCCCAAAGATAATCCCTCTTATGCCACCTCCATCAATGCTAAGAGCAGTGATTACATTTCCATAAGTTGGTGTGCGTGGTTGCAAGGGTGATTTTGGTCCTTCCATGATAGATTCAGGAAAAGGAATGGAAGAGAGATAGAGAGTTTAAAGAGTCTTGAGGTATTCTTGAGGTAGAAAATGGAGGTAGTTTTTAAGTTTTAAAACAACCCAGAGAAATGAATGTGAGATATTATATTGTATTTGGCAATTATCGTAAACAAAACAAGTCCAGGTCGAGTTGTAATTCGAGTTACTTATAATGCAAGTTATCAAGATCGACAGCGACTACGAAATTAGAAAGGTTGTTCAAAGTTGCTACAATTGAGATCATTCGAAATAAGGTAAGAACAACACATTAGGAAAGTTTCTAAACAAGGTAGGACACATTCTACACTTTCCGTATTTTTCAGAGCTTACCGTAGAATGTTTTTAAGCTGAATGAACCAATGAATTCAAGTCTGTCAAACTTGAACCGGTTTAGTCCCTCTGAACTGGTTCAATATGCTCAAGATTGGCTTCGAATAACTTCTGCCAATCTTGAACCGGTTCGGCCCCTCTGAACCGGTTCAAGGTGTCCTGATCAGTTTCCAACTTCCAGTTTCCTATTTCAGAATTGTTTCCTAGTTGGTCTAGAATTATACCAAATCCTATGCACAAATTTTTCCATATTTTTAGAGGAATTAGGTCATTCTAAACTTTATATAAACTTTGTCATACACATAGGTTTATTTACGACGTTTGCATTATCAGTTTATTATTTTTAAAAGCTTTAGGAAGATTTTTGTCTCAAAAATTCTTAGAGAATTTTCTATTTGTCTTTTTAGAACACATACATATAAACACATAGTGAGTTTAGAGTTGTGGTGTTCGAATCCTAATCGTGATTATACAATTCCATCTACATTAATCAGACAAAAGCAGATTTACTTCTACATCAAATCCAGAAGTTGAAGAACAAAAGTAAAAGCGATCACACTTTGAAATGGTTGGAGCATTCGAGGAGTGTTGTCTGATCTACCTGCTATTGTTCTACAGAGATCAAGCATAAGTCTGAGATCCAGTTGTTGTTGGACGGGGACTCGTAAAGTCAGAGGATTGTCAATAATTGGTGCTTGGTAGAACGATAATGTGTGAGCCAGAGTCAAAGTTTAGTATACTTTATTTCAAGTATAGTGGATCAGTTTACTTTGGACTGCACAGTGCACGAGATTTTTCCTACACAAACAGTTGACGTATTTTATCAACTGGGGTTTCCTCGCTAAAAATCCTAGTGTGATCTCTAACTTTACTTTGCTTTATTTTATATTGCATGATATTAATTTATTAATTACTAAAATAAAAAAAGTTAGAAAAACGCAAGATTTGTTTTTAAATAAACAAAACTTTCTAAATATTTCGCTACGTACGACTCACAATGAAGTACTATTATTGGACACTTTAATGCTCATTGAAATAGCATCGCTAGAGTATTTATAGACTTTGTTGTATATGCTTGGTGTCATAAGGGTGTTTGTCCCACGTCAGATTTGGATGGAAAGTAAAATGGGTGAGTATACAGTACTATCTAATAGCTTAAATTTTTGGATAAATGGACAAACATCCAGCTGTTACAGTTGTTATCAAAGGCAGACACAATCCTTGATTCGGTGTCACGTTAAGCGCCCGACTAGGAGGCGTCCGGTTATAGTTGTTATCAGAGGCAGACACAATCCTTGATTCGGTGTCACGTTAAGCGCCCGACTAGGAGGTGTCCGGTTACTGTTGTTATCAGAGGCAGACCCAATCCTTGATTTTGTGTCATGTTAAGCACCCGACTAGGAGGCATCCGGGTGAGTGCACCCAGGTAGACAGGGTAGCCCGATCGTAATGAGGGCGTTGCGAGTTTGGAAATGTTATAAGGGGTATTTGTCTCACATCAGATCTGGATGAAAAGTAAAATGGATATAAATAAGTGGATATGCAATACTACCCAATAACTTAAACATTTAGATAAATAGATTACTCTTGGAGTGTTAAAAATATGGATGTGAGACTTTTCTTCGTCAAATTTGACCAAGTTTTAGTTTTAAGGGTATGTACATTAAATCATCTGACCTAGAAATAGGTCCAAGGGAAAATTTAATCATTTCAAATTCCAACATGCTTCATAGCACCCGCTCCTCAGTACTATAAACCAGACTTCCATAAGAGAATTTATTGTAGCCTTTTTGAGGTAAGGAGAATTAATTGTAATTGGTGAATTGAAAAAGTCTATGATTGAAAGAATCAAAACTATGTAGTATGTAGTAATTATTGAGGCATCTAGAAATCAAGAAAGTCTACAATGATAGGAGAGGAGTGCTAGTTGCTGTCTTCGTAGCAGAACACTACTTCTTCATGCTATAAACTTTCCTTCCTTGTTTGGTCAGTTTGTATATTATCATTAATACGCCATATCAATAAAAATCTAACGAAGCTGCTAAGAAACTGAACTCATGAATATGTAAGAACTCCTGTCAGCCACAACAATCTATTGTCCCAAGTGACTGCAAGTAGTGATGTTAAAAATTCATGAATGCATCTGAATGGTGAGACATCTTCAGAATTCTACATTCAATTCTCCGTGTAGAGTTTAATTATTATTTGACACGGCCTTCTCTCAGAATGGAAGCTTCAAACTCACTGTTGGGCCAATTATTGTGTTCTAAAAAAACTATCATGCCCCCATTTGGGTTATGATTTAAACTCTCAACCATAGGTTTTTAGAATTAAGGAAAATACCATTATATCACAATTCTTAGTACCTATTACATCGTCATTAGCTAATAAAAGAGAAGTGGTAAAATCAATTTTATTTATTTATTTATTTTTTTTCTGTTAAACGAAATCATTTATTCAACATAAATAACATATTTAATAAAGATAACTTATTTTTGGGTCATGTCAGAAGAGAGCTAAGACATTAAAGATAGGAGAGAGGAGGAGACAAAAAAAAAATAAAATAAAAAAAATAAGAAGATAGGATAGTTGTATAATTTGAAAATAAGAATTATTCACTTGTTAAGCTAAATTTAGAAGTGTCATTTTCTTTAAAATAATAGTGCAAATGTAGGGAAGAGGAGTGCTAATAACACTTTCTTTTTTTTTTTTTTAATAGAACATTGCTTACTTAAATTTAGTAGCACCAACTCCAGCTTTGTTATTTATTTTAGCCAAGCTTCTAAGTTGTGAGAAATTGAAGGATCAATTCTTTTGCTCAAAGGGAATTAGGGCTACTATGCTAGTATAAGGATTTGAATCCCATAATAAGCATGTGTGGGTTTATGTGCCTATTTGTTTAACAGAAAAAAAAAAAAAAAAAAAAAAAAAAAAAAAAAAAAAAAACACCCTACTCCACTACAACAATTTTAGTTTTTACCAGCGCGGAAAAATACTAGTAAAAGTCAGAAAAAACACTGGTGAATGAATTACAAGCGTTCTATTGACGGTCCGCATTGTCTGCTGGTATTTCTTGCATTGCAAGACCTTTACCAGCTATCTTCTTTGACCGCTGGGATAAGTTCAATGCCAGCAGTCACTAATTGAGCACTGGTAAATTTTATTTTTTACCGGTGTTTTGAAACGTTGGTAAGGGATTCTCTGTACTTTAGTGAGGCACTCCTATAAAACGCTGGTGTTGACTTGTTTTTTTTTTCAGAAAATTTTTCTTACCCCAAAGAAACCATTTGTTTAGGAATTTAACATGTTCAAAAATCAAGGAATACCATAAATATATGATTGAACCTGAAAGTAATTTCACATTCAAAACTTAATTGTAACATGTAAAATAACATCCAACTGCCATCAACTTTCAACATGACAAGTACAAATAGATTTATGCAACCAAACAAATAAAAAAGAATTAAAGAATTTACATCATAAATAACGTGCAACAGAAGTTTTGACATTGACCAAGGAGTTAACATAGATGAAAATTCGAGAAACGTGACCACGACCACTGCAACTTCTGACTTTCTTTTTTCGCTTTAATAAGTGCATCTTCATCTTCATATTCAACTTCGACTCTTGCCCATCTAATTGAATTACCCAACATTTTTCTATTAATTCATTAAGCGCACATCAAATTAAAATATAATGGAGATGAATTTAACATATAAAAAATTAAAGTGCTAACCATAACTTAATTGCCATGACTAGAGTCTGATTTCCTCAATTTGCACAAGATGTCCACTGTTTTGAAATAATCACCACTTCAAACTTTTCCTGCAAAAGTGATAATTGTGCCGTGGTAATCCACTTTTTACATGATAGTTGTTTTCATGTCCTTGAAGTTAAATAATTTTACTTTTACTATGATCCACATGTCCTCTTTACGTCGATTAGGCATCTCCCATCACGTTTTGTAACAAAAATGAGCAATTGTTCCCAAGTAATTAGCATATTTGGTACCATCATCTCCTGTCCATTTTAGTGTCTAATAGTAATTTCATTCCATGTCATTACTTGAAATTTATACAAGTGTTGCCGGTTGCAAAAATATTAAGATTGTTGAGATTGACAAGAAATTTCTTATGGATTAATTCTTTAATTCGGTTTCTTGACATCTCAATCATTCTTGCAGCCCCCATGATGCTTGAGACTAAAAGAATTAAAGAAAACACAAGTCAAATCAAATAATAATATTTCTAGAGAACACTTCTTGAATTTAATAGATAATACTTTTATTCAGGCATTGACATTTTTAATATTCAAACCTACAATTAATTTTCTTATGGTCTTACCTACAATTCCCAATTTTGGTGACTACCGTACTATTTATATTGGGATTTGCATGGAATCTTCAATTGTCGCGTTCAACGTATGTCCGTACTTATATGTGCCATGCATATAAATGTTGGCTGTTTTTTTTTTTGTTTTTCTTTGTGTGTTACTTTTATTTTTATGAACCGACTTTAATTTAATCACACAATCATCGAATGCATTTATATGCCCACACATAATAGGTTGTGGTCTGGTATTTCTGTAGGAGTATGCATATTCTAGTAGTCATGTATACCATTATTCTTAATTTTTTCTCTCTATGGATACGCATTAGATAAGCTAAGGGCCTGCATTGCATGGTTTGTAACTCTAAATATAGTTCTAAAAAATTCAGAAAATAGAAATTTTTTCTCAAAGAACAATCTTTTATAATTCTCCGAAAATAAGCATTAATTTAGGAGATTGCTTGGTTTGTAACTCTACAAACAGTTCCCAATAATTTAGAGAACAGAAAACTATTTTTAGATTTTATGAAAATGAGTATTTTTATAACTGAATTTTCAGAAAGCTAAACCAAACAAAGTTTTTATACAGTTTTCTATTTTCAGTTATTTAAAAACAGAAAACTGTTTCCAGAATTACAAATCAAACAGGCCCTAAGCACGTATAAGCTTAACTTTACCTAGCATAAACCCATAATTGATCCATAGCATTTAATTAAGTTTATTTATTTATTTATTTGTTTAAGTAATTTATACATTTTTTTCTAGTCCAATAATTTATACATTCAGTTTGCCGATCCCCCAAAAGGAAAGGACTTGAACCTCAACCATTTGTATCCAAATCCCCTCTCATATGCATAAGAAGAAGAAGAAGAAGAAGAAGAAAAGAAAAGAAAAGAAAAGAAAAAGAAGAAGGTCGTTATTGTATAAATCATGTAATATAATTGTATAAATAATATAAAATTATTGCAAAAATAAGGTAAAATTATTGCATATACAATGGGATGTATTTGAAAATTGTTGCAATTTTTAACAAATAAAACCTTTCTAGTCAAACGCCCCAAGTCTTTTACCAACTTATAGGATTGACTCTGGTATGTGCACAAGTGGTGTCGCATGAGTACTTAATTCAATAACTTGGTTATGATCCGAATCTAATAATTCATTAGTCTAATAAATTAATATATATATATTAATTATATTGATCTGATCCGTATATATATATATATATATATATATATATATATATATATATATATATATATATATATATCAGTTTTGTGTTAGAATTTAAAGGTAACAAAAAGTAATAATAAAAAATGTAATCATAATGTTATATGTACAATACTACGATGTGCTCACCCACATATGAATTATCTCTTAATATATATAATAATGTTATAATATTTATTAATTAACAAAGATTAAATTATTATTATTTTTTTAGCTTTCATATTTTATTTATCTTTTATTTATTATTATTATTATTTTCTAATTATTGTTTTTTTTTCTCTTTTTGACATTAATTTCTTTTATTTTTTCTTTTTTATATAAAAAAATTACATGTTTATCGATCGAATTAGATCGGATAAATGTTTATTAACAAATCGGATATTTATTCACTTGCAAAAAATTTGTCGAATTATCGGATCAGATCGAATCGAGTAAAATGCTTAACGAATTCGGATTGGATCAAGCCAAAGCTGATCCAAAATCCAATCCGTTAACATAAGTGGAGGCAACTGCTAGAACAATTAACTTTTGTTGATATTTTAATTTTGTTTGTATAATTTATAAAATTGTAAACATGGCCCCAGTTCAAAATACAATTAAAAAAAAAAAAAAAAAAGAATTAAAACCATTTGTATTATTTGTTGTTATATATCTTTCTCTCACAAAACTTTTTTTTTTTTTTTTTTGCATCACTACACTCTCGATCATAACTATATCTAATTCGTCACCTCGCTTCAACCATCAATATCTCTCTTCTACCTCTGGATCAACATCTGAAGTACAACAATCCCAACTTGCTTGATAAAGAAAAATGACAATGTAATTCCAATCAATAAATATGAATTTATTCAAATAACTTACAAAAAAAATTACAAACAAGTCTTGTCACCTACAATGGAATATCCATGACTTACTCATACGATGAATTATGAATTACAATGAGCGAAATGGCATAATTAGCACTCATATGTCTAAGAATTACAAAATAATAAATGTGAATTTATTCAAATTACTTACACAAAAAGAATTTCAAATGACTCTTGTCACCTACAATGGCATAACCATGACTTATTCAAACAATGAATATATTTAATTAATGAAATAAATTAATGTTGAAAAATTTATTAGTTCGACTTCGCAACACGTGGTGATCTGGTATCGCGAAGCTGCTTCTCCTTGGATAGAGTTTCTGCCAACCTACAGATATTAAACAAACACTATATACATGAATTAATTGGAGTAATTTAACAAATTAATGAAACACTGATATATCATTTTGGTTTGATAACATACAATATTTTTCTCCCAAAATTTCAAGCAAATTAATTGAATACAATATTGATTGTTTGACATATACCTTATAAGTGCCTCCTCATTAGTACCCTTGTTAAACGGTTCACAGACACCGGTCTCTAAATTCACCTTTGAAACTGGTTTCTTCAACAGTTCTTCCCCAACTTTCACTAGATCATCTAAGTTCTCTTTGGTTGCAATATCGACCGATGACACTATCCCACTTAATGTGTCATCCTGCATTTTTTTTTAACAAAAATTTTAAATGACAAAATTTAATTTGGAATGTATATAAATTGAACTAAAGAAACATAATAATACAAAGTTGAAAATGTATATATGTTAATACCTGAATCCGAAGGTAATTTTCTTCAGAGCGAAGGGCTTGAAAAACAGTTGAAATGTGGAAGTCAACCATATCACCACTTGCTTGAGTAAACACATCCACTAATGGAGTAGAACCATCACTTGTCAACCATCCCAAAACACCCCATTTTGCTGCTTCATCTGCATCATATTTTTCTTCTGCTTTCGCTGTACCAGTCCCTAAGGATACAACAATGAACCTATCATAGTCCGGATTTATAGAAGTGAAGTCAGAATTGCCCCTGTTAATCTCCTTTGTCACTTCACCCATCGCCACCAAAGCCTGAAACCAAAAATAATTTATCATCAGGATTTTCATTTGCTAAGACAATCCTCAAATGGTAAAAATCAATGTCAATTTAATTAGTCCATACCGGATTATTAGCTGCTACACTGCCGTCAATAAGATTGAATTCTCTCACTTTTCCAGAGGAATCACTGGTTTTGAAGTTATGGGCAGGAAGATAGGTCGGGGCAGCTGAAGTTGATATGCAAATGTCGGAGAGCAAGGCATCTAAGCATGGATTGTTCTTCACCTAAACCATGAAAATGATAATATATATATATCTATAAGTATTAATCAATCAAGTTTAATTGAAAATCGGATATTTAGAGTTGTAAAATGAAAAAAGAGCCAATATATGTCAAATACACATGCACATAGACATGTACCTGATAGCTTGAGAAGATAGTTGGCTGGAGTCTCTTGATATCAAAAGTAGGGATCACAACATTAGTTAATGTTTCATGCAACCGCGTGTTTCCCAATTTTTCCCTAACAATATTGTGGAGATACTTGCCATCATATTTTGGTCCTGAGAGGGCCTTGATGATTTTTGTACCATGAGCAAATCGACCACTGCAAATGAAACCATGACAATTTTAGTATTATTACTAGATACTAGATAATAGCATAATATATGTTGATTATACAGTGATCGTATTGGCAAGACATTCAGGGTCAAGCTCATTACCTTTCCTGAGGGAAGATTTTAGGGCAATGTTCAAGATAGAACTCCTTGATGTCTTTGGCAGCAAATTTAGGGCGGCTGTTCTCTTCATTTGGTGTAGTTAACATGGCGGTCACAATACCACCGGTGCTTGTTCCTGCAATCACGTCGAAATAGTCTGCAATTCTTGCATCCTCACCATCCAGTTTCTGCACCACACCAGGCCAAATCATCACGCATGAATTAAGAGAGAGAGAGAGAGAGAGATATATATATATATATATTTGGAAAATAGAAAAGCAGAATTTAATAGTTATTTATCACCTTTCAAAAGAAAATTATTGTTATTTATGGGGCTTAATTGATGCATGCATGAGATAAAAAAATAAAAAAATAAAATAAATAAATAAATAAAAAGAGTTTTAATTTTACTACAAAGTTTATTTTTTATTCCTCCGACTCACCCGGTGTATCCTTGGGGCGAGACTCTACACCCCAAGGTTTGTAACTTAGGGTGGGTCCCAAAGGGGCCCTGCCTAGGGGAGTTCCTGGTGCTAACTAAAAAAAAAAAAAAGTTTATTTTTTATCAGGTAAATACTCTCACACACACCCGCATTATTGCAAGCATGTGGGGCTCGAACCCTCACATCCCTTTTGAAATAGTAGTGGTTTTATTGGTATGACTGATTACCTAGTGGTAGCATTTTACTACAAATTGGAGGAACATAGTCGCATTGGTCGTAAAAAATTATGCCCTCTTTGAAGAGAGATATATATATATATATATACCTGGAGTTGTGACTCTAGAAAGCCTAGAATTATCCCAGGGATAATCCCTCTTATGCCACCTCCATCAATGCTAAGAACAGTGATTACTTTTCCATAAGTTGGTGGTTGCAAGGGTGATTTTGGTCCTAGTTCCATGATAAGATTCAGGAGAAGGAATTAGAGAGAGAGAGAGAATTTTAAGAGTTGAAGTAGAAAATGGAGGTAGTTTTTGAAGCTATGAAATAGTATTGGACACTTGAATATATGCTCATTGATATAGCATGCTTAAGGTATTTATAGATTCACTGTGTATATGTTTCGAGTGTTAAAATTATGGTTTTGAGACTTTTCTTATTCATATTTTTGACAATAGTTTTTAGTGTATGTACAATAAATTGTATCGCGTAGACATGTCCAATGGAAATCAAAGTTGACCATTTCAAATTGAAATATACTGCCCAGCGCTCACTAGTCGCCTACTCAGTGTATACACGAGACTTGTTGGTTAGACCATAAGAAAATTGTAAGTTGGTGTAATGAAAAAGTCTATGATTGAAATAATCAAAACTACCTACGTAATTATTGAGTTATCTAGACAGGATAAGAGTGAGCCGCCAAGAAACTGAACTGAAACAAAGAACTCGTGTCTGGGTGCTTAATTGCAAGTAATGATTTTGAAAATTTCAACCAAGGAATGCGTCCGCAATTGTCAAAGATTTTTCTAGAGTCAATTCTTCTACTTTGAGATTTATTAATTTTAGCGTCACATTTTGAGAAGTTGAGAAAATATCACGAAATTATTAATTTTTTATAATTATTACAAGTTCATTAATTGTTGAGTTGTAGGTAAGATTTTGAATATGTATACTCTTTCGAAAAGCAAAAAGAAAGATTTTGGATCATTTTTAACAAAGCATTAACATAAACGAAAAACACCAATCACGTTAAATACAAATTTGACAAGCATGGGACTCTTATGGATCAAAATTCAGAACTAACTATCCACTAACTATCCACTGGATCACATTTAGATAGTGAGTTATTTATTATAAATATTTTATATAGTTTGGGAGATTATAGTTTTGAGTACTTATTTACAATTTTTTTTTTTTTTTTTTTTTTTGTTTACAATATTGATTACTTATAATTAGTAGCACCAACTCTGGCATTGTTATTTATATTAGGTAGCTACTTATTCTGAATTGGCAGAGTTGATCATTTGGGACTTACTTCAAAAGATTTAGCCATGGGGCCCCACGTGATCGATTGAAAATCGGGACTTTTGTAATTGATTTTGAATCTATCAAAATAAATGTCGTATTTTTTAAAATTTTATTTGATGTTGTGATTCGTTGAAAACCAATCATAATAATTCTTGAATTTTCAGCAAATTAGATTCAAGAAAAGGAATGGAAGAGAGAGAGAGAGAGTTTTTAAACAGTCTTAGGCAGAAAATGGAGGTAGTTTTGAAGTTTCAAAAGAATCCAGAGAAATGAAGTACTATTATTGGACAATTTAATGCTCATTGAAATAGCATTGTTAGAGTTTTTATAGACGGTGTTGAACATAATTGATGTTACAAGGGATATTTGTCCCACATTGAATTTAGATGGTAAATAAAATAGGTAGGTATACAGCACAACTCAATATCTTAAACTTTTGAGTAAGCGTCCAAGCGTTATAGTTAGTATCAAAGTCAGATCCAATCGTTGATTCGGTGTCACGTCAAGCGTCTAATCCGGAGACGTCTGGGTGAGCCCATCCAGGTAGGCAAGGTGGCCCAACCGCAACGAGGACATTGTGAGTTCAAAAATGTTACAAGAGGTATTTGTCTTACATCGAATCTGGATAGAAAGTGAAATAGGTATAAATGGGTGAATATGCAGCACTACCAAATAATTTAAACTTTTAAGTAAAATATTAAGATTGTTGAGATTGACGATAAATTTCTTATGGATTAATTATTTAGTTTGGTTTCTTGACATGTCAACCATTCTTACAGTCCCCCCACGATGAGCAGCAGACAATATCCATACTTGACGTAAAAGAATTAAAGAAAACATAAGTCACACCAAATAATAATATTTCTATAGAACACTTCTTGAATTTAGTAGGTAATACTTTTATTTATGCATTGACATTTGTAATATTCAGACCTACATTTAATTTTCTTATGGTCTTACCTACATTTCCAATTTTAGTGACTACCGTACTTTATATATATTGGAATTTGCATGGAATCTTCAACTGTCCTCTTGAACCTTTCAAAGTGTGTCCGTACTTATATGTGCCATTAATATAAATGTTGGCCCTTTACTTTTTCTTGTGTATGTGTTACTTTTAATTTTGAGGAAAATGATATTTGCACCAAATATTCAAACCTAAAACTCAGGTTAATGGTAATATGTCATTATAATTGTACTACACTCAGAAACATAAAACTTTAAAGACAAAATTATCCTTACGTAATCCCAATTAACAAAGAATTTTAATTATCAATAATATCTCTATTCATCCATCTCTATTCCATAGTCAAACCATTCTTTATTTTCTTCAATTTCTCACACTTTTCTTCATTACCATCATTGCTTCTCGATAAAGATACACAAATATATCACTTTACAGTACTTGTTACCATCTCCATTACCTTCATCAACGTTTCCCCCATCAGGTTGCCCTAAAAGATCACTTCCTTTTCCATGGTGGCATTCTCTATTTCTCTCCTCTTCAAGTTGATGAACTCGGTTCTTTAGATCCGTCACTCAATCGACGAGTCCATTCAGTTTGTTGTCGGTTTCGTGCAAAAGAGTGTTAATCATACCCAAGAACTCTCTGCATACAGACTCGCACCACTTTTCTTTCTTCTTCTTCTTTTTTTTTTATTTTTTATTTTATTTAAGTTATGATGAAAATTTTATAAACTTAATTATTTATTTATTTTATGTTATATATATATATATATATATATATATAAAGGGAAGGGAGAGTGTTTTGTTAAAAATTTAAAAACAAAATTGTGGGAATTGAATTATAGTAGATATATATATATATATATTTTAATGATTTCTTTTTAGAAATTATATATAGGAATTTAAGGGAATTGCAGTATATATATATATAGGAATTTAAGGAATTTAAGGGAATTGAACCCGTTTTGGTAATCTGGTTGTATCTCTCTCCTCAAGCGTCAAAACAGCTAAATTCTCGCGCTGGTCGAACGGAAATTCGAAAAGCTACAATTTTGTATTTCACGAGGATTCCCTAAAACAGCTATTTACCTTGTCAAAATTGGACTGAAATATGTACGAATTTTGAAGTCCTTATTTGACAGAATTTCTATATATGTCTTCTATATGGAAAAGGGAACTTAAAGGCTGATCTTTTATTATTTAAAGGGAGTCATCTACAGCATTGAATGATCATACAGAGGAGCTTGAGGCTGAGATCAGAAAAGAAGCATTCAGAAGAAGGAAGGGATCAATCCATAGCGGTGAAGATGTCTTCCTCAACCATGAAGAATTCCATTCCAGTCATGATTGGCTAAACGCTTTGCTAGGGTTATGATGTAGCCCTAGCTTAGCACACTAGTTTAATTGTATTTATTTATTGAAGAACAATTTTTATCATGCATGATTGTGTAATCTATAGAATTTTTAATTGACTCTTCAATAAGAATCGGTTTTAGAGTTTTAATTCAATTACAAATATTTTTCTATCTTGTCTTAGATATTTTAATCTTGTGATTGAACAAAACTCATTCACTTATTGTAGTTGTGAATGAGATAATTACATAATGGTTTTTATCTGAATATAATGTTAGAGATTTGATAGATTATGCCTAAAAAATATAGACTATGCTACACTTTAGAGTAAAGTAGTTAGGTAAATGGTTTATGCCCATCGAAGATAGTCTATACTTAGCTTTAAATTTTATTATTTTCTAGCTAAATTAATATGTGCTTGTAGCCATGATTAATTTCCTGTGCATGTTGTATAATATATCTCCAATAAATTGATGCAATTAACTGGTGGTGCGACGTTAGTGGTGAAGTCATTCCCCTAGTTCTCTTTCTCTATTTTCTACATCCTATTTAATCATTGTTCTTTAGTTTATTTTTTAACTTAGTTAATTTAGAATTAATCATCACAATTCGATTATCTTACTTTCAATTTAATTTGGAATTTAATAAATCTGTTGACAAACTTATTTTACACAAGTCCCTTGGGTACGACACCCTTACAAGTAAACCCTATCTGTAAAGATTCAATTCGTGCACTTGCGAGTGGTACATGTAAATCTCACAACACATCCTCACCATCCAGTTTCTGCACCACACCAGGCCAAATCATCATGCATGAATTAAGCTATATTTATATATATATATATATATATAGGGAAAATAGTTAAATAGAAAAAACATAATTTAATAGTTATTCATCACCTTTCAAAAAATATATATGTTATTTATGGAGTTTAGTTGATGTATGCATGAGATAAAGGAAAAAAGAGTATTTTACTACAAAGTTTATTTTTGGTTAGGTAAATATTCTCACACACACCTACATAAGCTATTGCACGCACGTGGGGCTCAAACCCTCACCTCCCTTTTGAAATAGTAAAGGTTTTATTGGTATGACTAATGACCTAGTGTAGCATTTTACTACAAATTGGAGGAACATAGCCGCATTAGTCCTAAAAAATTATGCCCTCTTTGAAGATATATATATATATATATATATATATATATATATATGTATATTATAGTTTATACATACCTGGAGTTGCGACTCTAGAAAGCCTAGAATTATCCCAAGGATAATCCCTCTTATGCCACCTCCATCAATGCTAAGAACAGTGATTACTTTTCCATAAGTTGGTGTTGGAGTTGCTCTGCACAATCAACTAAATTTGATTCTAGTTGTTGTGACAGAAACGTAAAATAACAACGCGCGCTGTTCGAGGAATAATCAAGCAATTATAAAGAAAAAATCACAACACAAGATATACATGGTTCACCCAAATCTTAGGGCTACGTCCATGGAGCACACCGAACAAATTCACTATAAAAAAGATGATGAATTACAAGGAGAATTTTCTCTCTATCTCTCTCAATTGCTCTCTCTTATATTGGCACAAATTTATCTCTGACTCTCACACCCTCTAAAATCTTATTAGAGTTGATATTTATAGAGTCTCAAACCTGTCCTACAAGAACTTGCCTTTTGTAGAATCCAAAACTAATAAGGAAGTTAAATCAGATCAGGAAACTGAATTTTCCTTAAACCAATAAGGAAGTTAAATCAGATCATGAAACTAAATTTTCCCTAAAATTCAGCAGTGTTGGAGTTTCCATATAATTAAATATTCCTAAAAAATAATCAGACTCTATAAAACCATAACAATCTCCCACTTGGAGGCTGGAGCACTTGTAAACCCATTCCATCTTCTTCTCATGCATGTCCCGTACATGTCGGTGCGCTTCTTTCTGTCTTCAAGCTAGAAGGCCGACTGAAGTTGCGCGCAACTTCAGTTTCTCCATGGTTACTGTCTTGGTCAACATATCAACCGGATTCTTAGTGCCAAGTATTTTCGCAAGTGTCAACACCCCATCTTATAACAAAGATCTGATAAAATGATACCGAAGCCCTATATGCTTGGTTCTTGAATAAAATGCTGAATTCTTTGCCAAATGTATCGCACTCTGACTATCACTGTGCAAAATATTATTCACCTGTTCGAATCCTAACTCTATCAACAAACCTTGTAACCAAATTATCTCCTTGCTAGCCTTTATCATCGCCACATACTCTGCCTCTATAGTAGATAACGCTATAATCCTCTGTATTTACGAAACCCAACTAACTATAGTCGTACCCACCATGAACACATACCCGGTAATACTTCTTCTGTGGTCCATCTCAACAGCAAAGTCTAAATCTACATAACCATGTAGCTTTACTTCGCCCCTTCTAAAACAAAGGCATCTATCTGTGGTACCCCGTAGATATCTCAATATCTACTTCACTGCTTCCCAGTATAGCTTGCCTGGATCCTTCATGAACCTGCTTACTACTCCCACTGCATATGCAATGTCTGGCCTTATGCACACCATGGCATATATCAAATTTTCAATGGCTGAGGCATATGGAATTTTAGCCATAAAGTTTTTCTCATCTTCTGTCTTTGGACACTAATGTTGAGATAATCGGAAGTGATTAGCTAAAGGAGTATTCACCGCCTTAGCATAATTCATGTTGAACCTCTTCAGAACCCATTCAACATACTCAGCCTGAGAAACTACAAAGTACCTTTCTGTTTGTCTCTGCTAATCCTCATCCTAAGAATCTGCTTCACTGCATTAAGATCCTTCATCTCGAATTCACTAGACAACTGCTTCTTCAATTTGCTGATTTCTTCAAAATCAGAACTTGCCACTAACATGTCATCAACATAAAGTAGAAGGATAATGAAACTTGATTTAAACCTCTTGAAATAGCAGCAATGGTCAGCGTTGCACTTGTTATAGTCATGTCACTTCATAAAACCATCAAACTTCTTGTACCACTGCCTCGGGGCTTGCTTCAAACCATATAAGCTTTTCTTTAACTTGCATATTAGTTTCTCTTTCCCTTTGACTGAGAAACCCTCCGGTTGTTGCATGTAAATCTCCTCCTTTAGGTCACTATGGAGGAAAACAGTTTTGACATCTAACTGCTCAAGGTGCAACCCCTCTGCTGCAACAATGCTAAGAACGGAGCGAATGGTACTCAGTTTCACAAATGGGGAAAAAATGTCTGTGTAGTCAATGTCTTGCTTTTACTGAAAGCCTTTGACCACCATTCTTGCCTTGTATCTCTTGGAACCATCATGTTCCTCTTTCACTCTATCCACCCATTTGTTGTGAAGAGCTTTCTTCCCCATAGGCAACTTGACTAGTTCCCATATTTTGTTAGAGATAAGGGACTTCATCTCATCTTCTATTACAAGCTCCCATTTGCTAGCATCTTAACTTGACATGCTTCATCATAGTATTCAGGCTCACTATCATCTGTAAGCAATATATAATCCAAATATTTCCGATTCGGTACATGAGGTCGCATGGACCTTTTGGGTGCAGGCTATGGAGTTAGAATCTGTGGTGAACTATGCTCTATGAGTGCTGGCCAAGAACCCTTATTTATCTGCTCCGCGTCAATGCTTTCTGGATCATCATCCAACTTAATAAACTCAGGCTTACTCTGTATAGGACTAGTTGTGATCCCCCTAGACTCCGAGACTGGGTTGATCAGGCCTAAGCCCGAACCCGAGGGAATATTAACCAATTAAAGTTTTTTAAAACGAACGCAGAATATAAAAATAAAAGAATTAAATAACGAAGCTGAAAGAATTATTAAATATAAATCCTCCAATAGATAATGAAAAAATAATAATAATCTGATTCTTCAAAACCTCCAAAAGTATAACTCGGGAATCCATCTAGTGGACCCCTAGACCAAAGTCCCAACTGAACTGAATAACTGAAAGTAAATCAAACTAGAACATAGAGAAAAGTCCTATATAAGCAAATGAATGAGAGACTGTCCTCAATAAACACGATTAAGCTCTAAGGCTGGAACCATCCTGTACCTGAAAAGAATAAAAGAGTGGGTCAGGCCCACGAACAAGTTCTAATCTAACTACAATCCATACAGTGACCTGATACGCAGATACATCCTAAATACCTCACAATATCTATCTAGTCCATACATATATATATCCACACTATGGGACATTTACTAGACTACAATAAGGGTCTCAACCTGAATAGAAGGTAACATGCAAAAATGCACCCATAGGTGGGCATGAGTACCTAGACCTAACAGGGTACACCTCAACCTATCATAGCCAGCTACGCATCCACTGTATATACGCACCCTAACCAATGAGCCTAAGACTCAAGCTCATCTCGTGGTACCATAACCATATTTCTAAAGTCCGTCCAAAACCAGAGTATATCATTCAATTATTCATTGAGCTGACATATAATATACAATCTAGTTAATCACTCAACTTATTCAGTTGATATGACTTAACTACAACCAACTAATCCAGGAGGTCATTCAACTTAGTCAGTTGATCTGACTTAAACACCAATAGGATTCAATATTTTATGTTCCATTCCTTTAATCCGATAGGTTAGGTTTTAGCGTTTTGAGCTAAACTCTCACTAGTATGCCACCATCCCATACCTGTGCATAAAATTCTCCACATCCATGTAAATTATATAACATAAATAATAGTTCAGCAATTTACAGTCCAAAACTATAATCTAGATAATTGTAGAAAAGTGTTTAAATATTTCAGCAATTAAAATCCCAGCCTTAATCCATGTAATTATAGAAAAGAATTTATTATTTCAGCAATTAAAAACCAGAGTAAGCACAGACCAAGATTGATATATAAATGCCCATATCATGCATCCCAAATAAGATTTATAATCATACTTTATTCCGTTTAATTGCTAAAATTAAATTAGACAATTAAATTCCTTCCATCCGATATTCGCATGCAAAATTTGTATCATTTTGTACTGTTCCATCCATTAACCTACAGGTATAACTGATGCCAAATTAGGCTTTAAAGTTTAATTAAAACAATATTTAAAGACCCCAGTAAAGTCCTAAACAATTCTGAAAAATGAAACTTCTCCAAACAGTGTACTAAAAATTTCAGAACGCACACACATGAGAGAGCCTACTCTCAAAACTGGAAAGCAGGCTCCATTAAAACATGGAGCCTCCTTCAATCCTTCTTGGAGCCGGCTCTAGAGGGGTAGAGCCGGCTCTAGAAGGGTGGAACCGGCTCTACATTCCCCTAGAGCCGGCTCTACTCTTGGGGGGAGCCGGCTCCCTCTTCCATGGAGCCGGCTATCTCCATCTCTGAGAACCTGAACCTCCTCTGGCCTTCTGCTTCATCTACGGCCGCTCCCACCCTTTCTGTTCTTAGTAGAAACTAAACCTAAGGGTCTAAATTTCATCTTATATCATCCCAGTTATTTATTTAAAATAGTTTTCATTAAAAAGAACCATACAAACTATTAACGATTTAGCATGCTTACGATTAAACACTGTGATACAATTTCAACAATAGATTCCAATCAAAAACTAAACACATATAGGCTAATATTCTAACATATATTAATATACAAGATTTATTTAATGTCCAATTAAAGTCCTAGAGATCATCCAGATGTGCACAGAACACAAGCCAACGGAAGAGAGGAAGAAAAGAACTTACCTGTGATTTCAGTTACGAAATCCCTGCGTCGTCTCTAAATTT